GTGGCTTGCTTGAAACCCGTATAGCAGGGCAGCTCATATTGTATGAACCAGACGATACGCGCGTCACAGAAGCATAAGGTGGAGCACGAGAATATTCTGTGCACGGCCGTGCCGATTCATAGGCGCTCCGCAGGCGTGGCTCCGCCGCGCGTGCGGGGTAGAGCAGCTGTGGGCACCTCGCGTGCACATGTGAGAGCGGTTGTTTCGGTAGCACATCATGGTATACCCTCGTAATTCCGTCTTTAGCGTCGATCAGCGTCTGGGAGTCGATGAGATAGCGCCAATTCAGAGTCGATTAGCGTAGATCTAGCGTCGATCTAGCGTCGATTGGCGATGAATGGCGTCGACTCGCAGAAGCCGACAAGATGATATGGGAGGCTCACAGGAGTTGCCGCCGAGGGGTGCGCTTGGTCAAGCGCCCTGTTGTGTTCTGGAAGCCCCGGACGAACTGGTGCACCCGAGGAGCTGAGGCCCAGCGTGCCTCCCTTCAGAAGGAGGGGGAGGGGGGGGAGGATGAGGAGGAGGAGGGACCTCAGGAGGAGGAGCAGGAGGAGGAGGAGGAGGAGGAGGATAAGGAGGAGGAGGAGGAGCAGCAGCAGCAGCAAGGGTGAGCGGAGACATGGCCGCGCTAGTCACCGAACTCCGATGCCACCAGCCGTGGCCGACGGGGCGCGTTCGCTCGCTCCCCTCGTTTCCCCCCTCCGCCTCTCCTTTCCTTCTCCTCAGTCGCCTGTGCTCACCCTCCTTTTCCTTATCTCATGCGCGTGCAGTGGAGCTCCGCCGCCTCTTGCTTCTTTGAAACGACGACTATGTGGACAAACTTGTGGCCAAAGTTGGCCAATTCAAGATGTTCGACAGTGCCTTTCTCAAACCGTGGAAGCTCTTTCGGAAACACTTGGGGAAGGAAGTGAACGAGGGGAGGGAGACAAGCTAGGTGCGCTCGCATCATATCTGACATCCTACCCCTCCCTCCCGTCCCTTACCATGGCGTAGATCCCCTCTCTACTCGCACAGTCGGATGTCGAGCAGGGCAATGATCCCGAAAGGGTACGCGATGCATTGTAGAACACGGCGTGGCATGGCGTAGCAGAGCACCGCAAAGCGTAGTATGTCACAGCATGGCGTGGCGTGGCGTAGTGAAGAATTGCATCGCAAAACTTTGCAACGCAAAGCGTGGCATCGCACAGCGGCCCCGAACATAACATTGCATAGCATGGCGTTGAAGATCAAAGCGTAGCATGGAATAGCACGACGTGGCACTTAAGCACTGCATATCACAGCTTCAGCTGATGGCATAGCATCGCGCAGCGGACCGCAACCGAGCATTGCATTGCATGCCGTGGCACGGCACGGGAAATGACGCCAACGCTGCAGCGGGAGCACGATTCGGAACGAGCGGGGCCCGAAACTGAGGCCGGCGCCCCAGCGAGAGCAGCATTTTGAAAACAGATGCAGGCGAAAACCCAACTCCGGGAAATCCTGTGTGTAAAAAACAATACGCGGGGGGGGGGCGAGCACTCCCAACCCGTCATCAGGGGAAGGGGGAGAGTAGTATTCACATTGAGTAACTGTAAAGGAGGAGGAAGAGGGGGAGGAGGAGGATGGTGAGGAGGAAGAGGAGAAGGAGGAGTAGGACCTGAGTACATACAAGACGCATCAACGATGTTGCAATGCACCCTCCCTCCAAGTTCCCTCTTCACAGTTTCCTGCAATCATGTATTCTCACTCTGGGGAGTGCCCCATTGAAAGTCAGCCGTGTTAGAATTTTCAATCGCGCACAAACGCGATTCCTGGGACTTCAGCGCCGTGGATCAACGTGATTGAGAGCCAAAGTGCACAAAGGCGGCTTGGTGGCCACTATGGTATGTGGCATGTGCACATGCAATCCCTTTGCACTTTTTTATGATTATGAGGGCCCCCTTACCATGCAGTCACAGTCAAGTCTGGTGCACAAACGGCGCATTTGCAGATTAAGAATTGCGCGCGTGAGTTGCGTGGAGAGGGGAAGAGGAAGAAGAGACGGAGGGCAGGAGCAGGAGGAGGAGCAGGAGCAGCAGGAGGGCACCCCCACCACCCACGCCAAAAACTAGCCTGGTAAAGGACCCAACCATTTGCAGTTGTGAGTAACGCAGTTCGGCTGGGCGCCCTATGGGGTCACGAAACGTATGAGGGGTGTCTTGGCATGGGTGGCGGGTACGCATGCGAACGCCGCCACTTTGGCCTTTGGTGGGGCTCCGTATGGGGCCACGAAACGTGCGATGGGATGTGCCGGCATGGGTGGCGGTGACGCATGCGAACGCCGCCACTGGGGCCTTCGGTGGAGCTCCTTATGTGGCCACGAAGCGTGTGAGGGGACTGTTCAAATCGGTGGCGGGGGCGCATGCGAACACCGCCATTGAGGCCTTCGGTGGAGCTCTCCCTATGGGACCGCGAAACCTGGGAGAGGGTATGCCCAACGGGAACGGCGGGGACGTATGCGATCACCGCCACTGGGGCCTTCGGTGGAGCTCCCCTATGGGACCACGAAGCGTGTGGTGTGAGACGTGTGCCGAAATGGGTGGCTGGGACGCATGCGAACACCGCCATTGGGGTCTTCTGTGGACCTCCCTAGGGGGCAACGACACGTGTGAGGGGCGTGCCGAAATTGGTGGCGGGGACGCATGCGAACGCCGCCACGGGGGTCTTCGGTGGCGCTCCCTATGGGGCCACGAAGCGTGTGAGGGGTGTGCCGACATGAATAGCGGGGACGCATGCGAACACCGGCATTGGGGCCTTCGGTGGAGATCCCTATGGGGCCACGAAGCGTGTGAGGGGTGTGTCGAAATGGGTGGCGGGGACGCATGCGAACACCCGCACTGGTGCCTTCTGTGGAGCTCCCTATGGGGCCACGAAGCGTGTGCGGGGTTTGCCGAAATGGGTGGCTGGGACGCATGCGAACACTGCCACTGGGGCCTTCTGTGGAGCTCCCTGTGGGGCCACGAAGCGTGTGTGACGGGTGTGCCGAAATGGGTGGCTGGGACGCATGCGAACACCGCCACTGGGGCCTTCTGTGGAGCTTCCTGTGGGGCCACGAAACCTGTGAGGGGTGTGTCGAAATGGTTGACGGGGGCGCATGCGAACACCTCTACTGGCGCCTTCTGTGGAGCTCCCTGTTGGGGCACGAAACGTGTGAGGGTGTGCCGAAATGGGTGGCGGGGACGCATGCGATCACCGCCACTGAATCCTTCGGTGGAGCTCCCTGTGGAACCACGAAACGTGTGAGGGATGTGCCGAAATGGGCGCGGGCGGTGGCACTGGGGCTGACAATGATGCTGATGATGATGATGATGATGATGGTGGTGGTGGTGGTAGTGGTGGTGATGACGATGCTGATGCTGATGATTGGGGTGATGATGCTGATGATGCTGCTGATGATGATGATGGTGCTGATGCTGATGCTGATGCTGATGCTGATGCTGATGCTGATGTTTCTGATGATGATGCTGATGATGATGAAGAAAAAGATGATGGTGGTGGTGGTTGTGTCGATGATGCTGATGATGCTGATGACGATGATGATGATGATGATGATGATGATGAGGATGATGATGATGCCGACGACGATGCTGCTGATGATGATGCTGCTGCTGCTTCTGATGATGATGATGAGGAGGATGATGATGATGATGTGGATCATGATGATTATGATGATGATGATGATGATGTTGATGGTGATGCTGCTGCTGATGATGATGCTGATGATGATAATGTTTCTGATGATGATGCTGATGATGATGACTGACGATGCTGATTCTGATTATGATGATGATGCTGATGCTGATGCTGATGCTGATGATGATGCTGATGATGATGACGATTCTGATGATGATGATGATGATGATGCTGATGATGATGTTACTGATGATGATAATGCTGATGATGATGATGCTGATGCTGATGCTGCTGATGATGATGCTGATGCTGATGCTGCTGCTGCTGCTGATGACGATGGTGATGATGATTATGATGCTGCTGCTGCTGATGATGATGCTGATGATGCGGCTGCTGATGATTATGATGATGATGATGATGATGATGATGATGATGATGATGATGATGATGATGATGATGATGATGATGATGATGATGATGATGATGATGATGATGACGATGATGATGATGATGATGATGATGATGATGATGATGATGATGATGATGATGATGATGATGATGATGATGATTGATGATGATGATGATGATGATGATGATGATGATGATGATGATGATGATGATGATGATGATGATGATGATGATGATGATGATGATGATGGATGGATGCGGTAGTGAGGACGCGTGGCGCTGTCTCTTCAAAACGGTCACCCAACACCAAAGGATGGTTGGGAACAATTCTCAGCGCGACCGCGTGGGTCCCGCATAGTTTCGTGGAGCAGAGGCGAGTCCCTCCCCGAATGGAGAGGAGGAGAAGGAGGAGGAGGAGGAGGAGGAGGAGGGAGGAGGAGGAGAGGAGGAGGAGGAGGAGGAGGAGGAGCGAGGAGGAGGAGGTGTGTGAGTTGGGAGAGAAAGCGCCGTGAACCACCTTCACCCAGAGGGCTGCTGGGACTCCACGCTCTTTCCCGCCGTCCCCTCCATCTCCTCCCTCCGGCTGCTCGGTTCCCTTTCCAGGCCTCCTCTTGGTGACAATTTTCAGGTGGGGCAGGCTCAGAGGGCATGCGTCGACCCCCCAAGCGCCCGTCGATCGCCGACAGGGGCCCGGCGGCCCGCCCCGCCCACGGAACGTGCATATCTGCCGTCGGCGGCCCAGCCCGATCCATGGGCGATGCATCGCCGATTCCAGGTGGGTGCCTCCCCCAGCCGGTCCCCCCCTTAACGTTGCCCCTCCTCCTCCTTCTCCTCCTCCTCTTCCTCCTCTTCCTCCTCCTCCTCCTCCTCGTCTCGGAGGAGGGGGAAAGGATGAGGGCCGCCGCCGTCTCCGCCCGCGCTCCTTCGCTCCCGCGGCCCTGAGACGCATGGCGGCCGCGGCGGGGCCGCCCCCGGAGCCCTGACCCCGGGGGTCGCCGGGGCACCGGGGCCATCGGCTGGGGCGCCGGCGGGCGCGCCCTGGAGGGCGGAGGCGCCATGGCGGAGCCCAGCGTGGTGAAGGGGGTGCAGGACGCGAGGTTTTTGGGACGCAGGGTTTTGCGCTTTCGGAAGGAACTTTCCTGGTTCTTTGGTTCTAGGCCTCTCAGATGGGGTCGGAGTAGATGGGGTCGGAGGGTCGCGCCGCATCGCCGATGCGTCGCCGATGCGGCTCGATGTGGAGCCCGATTTTCTCCACGCCGACGTCGCGGGTGCATCGGCGACGTCGCCAGTGCATCGCCGATGCATCAGCGATGCATCGGCGATGCGGTGAGATCTTCCGACCCCATCTACTCGGAACCCATCTAGGAGGCCTCTATTGGTATATTCCCCAAGGAGTGTTTGCAATTGCGGGTTCTTACTTGTCTTACGAAGTAATTGGTTGCGTCCGTCGAGATTCCGCCGCGTCGCTGCGCGTTGCTTCCTTGCCGCCTCGTTGCCGCCCACTTGGGGGGTCCGTCGAGGTTTTGTCGCGACGCCACCCGTTGCCGCCTCGTTGCCGCCTCCCGCGCTTGGGGGGTCCGCCAATGTTGCAACACATAGCTTACACCACATAGCTTACACCACATAACTTGCGCTACATAGCTTACTTCACATACTTCGCATTCCGTATATAACAGTATATAGCTTGCAATCCACAGTGCAATTATTTTCTGTTGGGGGCTCACGCTGGCTAACATTTTTTCTAACCCTTCTGCGTTGGGTTCTCGTTTTGACTAGATCACTTCGGTCGCAACTCCTTCCCTCCTGCCTCCCTCCCTCTCTCCCCACCCACCTGCCTGCTGCCCTGCCTCCTACCTCGCCGTCCTGTCTCGCTGTCCTGCCCGGGGGCTCCCCGGGGGCTGCGAACTGCGAAACTGTCGCCACCGTCGAGAGCAGGTGGGGGAGGGCGAGGGGGGCGGCCGGAGTGATGTCATGCACGGTTACAGATTCGACCTCGCCATCTCTGGGGGCTATGATCTTCGAAATTGTCGCCGAAGTCGAGGGCTGCTGGGGGACCGAGCACAATGACTCTACGCGGAGTCATATTAGGCATCATCCAAGGGGGTCTGCGAATTGCGAATCTGTCGACACTTTCGAGGGCTGCTGCGGTTTCCAACATTGTGACGTCGTACGCGGATTCAGATTCGCCTAGGTCTCCTTTCCCGTGGGCCGCCTGAAGACCTGTCGGCGCGCCTGTGGGCGTTTAGCTCCCGCACTGCGAGGTGCAGGAAGGAAACGGAGAACCTGGCGGGCGAGCTCGGCCTCTCTCGCTTCTTGCAGTAGCTGTGAACAGCTGATGCTCTGGAGCGCCACATCGACATGTCGCGGGCCGCGCTGCTTGTCCTGCGCGCCGCTGGAACATGGTCGCCATCTTTCTCGCTCATCTTGTCTCTTTCGTTGTCGTCCTCTTCCTCCTTCCACCGTCCTGCTGCTGCTGTCGCGTCAACTGTTCGGCCCCTCATTCCTTTTCCTGCCCCTCGTTCCCATCCCCATTTCCTTTTCGATCCTGGGGCGTAAGTCCTTGTCTTTCTTGTTGCTGTCCTGTGATTCGTCAACGCGTGCGCTTCCCATATAGCTTGCGCAACCAATGACAGATCAGCCGCAGTATTCTGGACCAACTTCCTTTTACACTTAATGCAGATGGTTTGTGTACGCCACAGGGCAGATTCCGGATGGAATGAATTTCGATTGGTAGTTTATTTTGCAACCAACTTGTGGTTTTGGTTCCAAGTTTTGAAGAGACAGCGCCCCGCGTCCTCGTTCTCTTCCTCCCCCTTCGCTCCCTCCCTCCCTCCCTCCCTCCCTCCCTCCCTCCATCCTCCCGTCCCTCCTTCCCTCCCTTCTCCACTTCCTGCCTCTCCCCTCCTATGCTCTGTGGCTTCCCCTGAGGAGCCGCAGCCACGGCCAACGTGTCAGGGTCCGCACGGCGTCGCCACTTCACGTCGGCACACCTTTCACACGTCTCGTGTTGGCCCAACCGGAATGATGAATCCGTAGGAATCCATAGGTTCATCGGAATTATTAGGAATCGATAGGAGCCCATAGCAATCCATATGCATCCTGAGGCATCCTTGGGAATCCTTCGAAATCCTTCGGAATTCGTGGGAATCATTAGGACCTTCGGAATCCATAGGTCCGCCTGGCGTCGCCGCCTCACGTGGGCACATCCCGCACACGTTTCGTGAGAAACACTCCTTTGTCGTCCCAGAGGCCATGGCCTCATCCACATGCTACGGCCGCCGCCTCATCCAACAGTAGCATCATCCAGAGTCCATGGCCTCATCCGCCTGGCCTCGGCTAGGCCCCGACGCTTGGCCGCAGTGGTGCTCGTTTCTTCGGCACTTGTCCAGCAAGCTGGCATCCGGTTAGAGGCTGCGATTCCTTCTCCTGCCCGGCGGCGCCTCGTCCTGCCAGGGTGCCCTGGCGGGCAGGCCGGGGGCCACGCGCTTGTCGAGCCCTCCTCTGTCTCTGCCTCTCTCTTTTGCGCCAGCTTCGCGGTCGACATCATCTCCGTCGCCGTCGCCAAGCTCTTTCGTATTCGTAGTGTAAAGGCCCTGGCCGGCGCACTCCCTCCCTCCCCAGGAGCGGATGCCGTATGCGTGTCTCTCTGGGGGGACTTGCCCCGTTCGAGTCGCGGTGAGGGAATGCGCCAGCTTCAATTTGCAGAGCATCGTGCGGCTAGACCGCGCCTACTGGAGGATGAGGAGGGACAGGGGAAAGATAATCAGGATGGTAGGGAGTGTAATCAGGAGGGGATGTGGACGATAAGCATTTTCTTGAGGCCCACTAGCACAGACGTTTGCTCATCGTTGTATATGCCACAATGCAGCTCGCCATGCAGATAGCGACACGGTGATGATATTGATTATGGGTATGGTGCCGCTCATGATTAATGACAGTTCTAAGGCGGTGCGAAGCGAGGTGCGACTGAGAGGGTTGGCCAGGGATGGAAAGATGGGAGGCCATGATGGCAGTAGGCTTGATTGCGCAAGAGTTGATTCTGAGGACTACATCCGGGCGATGATTGATAGAATCCCCGGGATGAAGGCGCTTGCCAACAATTCTTCACCACCATAATGGTCGAGCTGTTTCTCCACTTCTTACCGTCCTCGTTCGAAGGAATATTCAGAGAGAGAGAGGGAGACAGAGAGAGAGAGAGAGAGAGGTGAGCGCTTTGTGCCGCTGTGCGTCAGTCTTGCTATGTGCTGTTCTCTGAGATAATTTTGATCCGAGGACCTTGTGTACTGTCTTGGAGCCGTCAGTGGGGTCTCGGGGCCGTCTTGGCACTGGCATCTTTGGAGTCGTCCTGGGTTGGTCTGTTATGGGGCCGTTTTCGTAGAGGTGTCATCCGCAAACAACCACGCGTATCGAAGATGCATACGGCGAACCACCGCCGCTCCCTGTTTTTTTGAAGCGTCCCTGTGTCCAACCAGTTGGCCAACGTCTGGCCAAGCTGTTGGACTATGTTTTCCCTCAGCCGTTGTGGAAACCCTTTGGAGAAAAACTTTGGGGAATATTGGCCGTTTGCGCAAGCTTCGCGATAACATGCGCGCATGACAACTTCAACACGGGGCATCGCCATGCACGCGCGTCGTGAGCGTCGGAGTCCGGCCAGATAGATGCACGAACCTCCCTTAGGCGCACGGGGTCCCTTACCATGTAATGGGTCACGCCATTGGCGTGATGGGGCGCAACCGCCTCGAGATTACATGCAGGTTCTCCGATATCATCACAGTCGCCAAACGGGGTAGAACTCGGGAAACGCCACAGGAGCATACCTCGGCGGCGAGCGAGGGGGGAAATGAGAAGGAGAAGGTTTTCTCAGAAGGTGGCGGGTCTTCTCAGAAGCCCTCGCGCCTTCTTCTCGCCGCCAATCTATGCAGGTCCTCCAATGTCATCACAGTCGCGAAACGGGGTAAACATCGGGAAACGTCACAGGGGCATATCATCGGCGTCACCCCAACATACTAATACTACATGTGTGTCGCCCCTCCAGGGGCGACGCGCGCACCGAAACATCGTGTGGTATGTGCGTCGTGGTGGGCGCTTGCTGGCCATACCGCTCGGGAAACGATCTGCTACATCATGGATGTACAATAGGTTCGGGTCGGACGCGCGCCTCCGAGGAGGACACATAGTAGCAGCCACCCAGGGATGGCGAGGTCTAGCCTGGGTGTGGTTAACACCATTGTGCTGGCCTCCCGAGGAGCTCACGAAAGCGGCCGCCCAGGGATTGTGCCGGATTGCACGGGTGACCGGGGTTGGCTGATGACGAGAAGCGCCTTCTCAGAGCGAGAATGCGTTGGAATGTTTCCAGAGGAAGGTTCATAGCCTCCTTACATATAGGTAAAGCGAGACTGATCACTAGAGACTTCTGTCTCGGGTTAGAAACACTTTCATCGCTTGAAGTTTTTTTTTTTTTTTTTCCTTTCGGGAATCATCCAGAAAGTGACTTGGGAGGGACTTCTGAAACTCCCCCCAAAGCCGTTCCGCTGGCGACATTTCCCAAAGCATCCTTCGGAGGGTCGAGGGGCTCGGTGCCCTAAAAGGTGCTCCAGAGGACCCAGTAGGAGCGCCCAAGAGCGCTCTGAAACACGCCCAGAGGAGTTCTGAAGAGCGCACCCACGTGCCTTCAATATGGTCCGAGAAACTTCAATGTAGCTCCCAAGACAGATCAAACACATGCAGCGCGCCCTAGTAATCCTCCTGGCACTGGTTTTTTTCCTCACCTCAACGCTGTCTTCCCTGTACTCCTCCTCTCCCTGCTTTTGTCTTCGGCATCCTCCGAATCCAGGGCACAAAAGCGGCGCTTCCCATTTGTTGTCTTGTCGAGTTTTGTTTGAGCCTCTTCTTCCTTGTATATAGATATATGTGTATAAAACATCATCTTGATGTTTATATCAAGGGCTGCTCGAATGCGTCGAGATCAGAGGGTGTCGGCATCCTGTCCGCAGGTGCTGATCCTCGACCCCGAGACAATTGGCATTGTCAGCATGGTCTTCTCGCAGAGTGAGATTCTCCAGAAAGAGGTCTTCCTCGTGGAGGGGCAGCGGGCTTGACATGCAAGGGTTGAGCTTGGATTCAACTGGCAAGGCAGGCGTAGCGATTTCACAACAGTCATCTAGCAAATGATGGTGAACTCTCCAGCAGCCTGCCATCCATCTGTCGTGCCTTTAGGTATTTCGTTTCTCGCCTGTCCGTTTTGCGTGGCATCCCAGCCGCAGCACGGAGTTGCGTCTTTTCTGTAATCTTAGATATATGTATGTATGTATGTATGTATGTATGTATGTATGTATGTATGTATGTATGTATGTATGTATGTATGTATGTATGTATGTATGTATGTATGTGTATATATATATATATATATGCGTGGGACGATGTATACATGTATATGTATACACATATACACACGTGGATGGGTATGTTTCTGCCCATTGCGAACGAGCCCTCGCCCCTTCTACAGCCTTTGCTGGGCTTGGTCGGTCTCACTGGCAGTGCTGAGAAGGATGGCCATGACTTCTGGAGTTGCAGGCCATTCATTCGACGGAGACGAGCAGATTCTGGCCTTTCCAGATAATGCTGTGGGAACGCGGGAGCCCTTTCAGTGACTCCCGTCACGTCACGGTCGGGGTAGGCACGCTGTGGATGAAGTGCGTCGTAGTGCCGAAAACAGTTTTCTCCGGGCCAAGGAACGCATCGATGCCGAGGGGTCGGAGAGGATGCGCCACATGAACGCCATCTGCCTACTGCGCCCGACAGATAAGGCCAACGCGTTTTCTACGCATGCAAGTGGAGACAGCATCGTGCTACTTTTCTTGTGCTCTCTTCACACAGTCATTTTTTGGCTTCACCCGTCGACCAGTTTCCGAGGCAACATTCGAATGCGAGCTAGCCCATCGCATGCTTTTTGGAAAGGCACCATGCTATTTGTAAATTCCAGCATCTCGTCACTACATTAACAGAAACATGCGCGGCTACCAGAACTTCATCCTGCTCTCCGAGGACCTTTTCCCGCTTTCGCATATGAGGGTGCTTTATTTCTCTATTACCTCGTGCATCAAGCCCCGATTCCGTCCTTGCTTCCTACCAATCGAATATCCCGTTGCGCTGCCGCGCGATTCCGCCACCGCGCTCGGGCGGTGTGGGGGGGGCGTGGGGGCGGGGGCCGAGGGGATAGGGGTAACGGGCACCGGGTGCCACGAATGGTGTATTTGGTAGCACTCGCTGCCTGGAAAGCCAAAAATGCAGGGACATGGCCACACAAATGAGCGCATCTTGGGCTCGATGCGTCGGGGGGCTGTAATGATTGCTTCGCATGGAGCGAAATGGCCCGACACACACGCGGACGTATTGCCAATGCTGCAAGCGCGGTGGCGGGTATCATCTGAGGGGCTTCGCCCACTGTAGCCGACCCCATGTTTGATTGCCTGCCTGGCTGGGTTGGTTGGTTGGGCTGGCCGGTTGGTCGAGTGGCTAATGGGTGGGTAGTTGTTTGGCTGGTTGCTTGTTAGGCTTGTTGGCTGCCAGATTGGTGAGTTGGACGGCTGTTGGCCTGCTCGTGGATGTGCCACAAACAGGGAGAATCGCCACAGGAAGGGACGGAGCCAGGAGAGTTGTTTCACTTGCGATCGGGGGGGGGTCCCGAGACGGCGCGAGGGGATCGCCCTGGCGCCCTGGCGCATGCTCCGAAATCCCAGCGTGGGGCTTTGTGGAGCTGGCGCTGAGACAGAGGGAAGACGGGGGAGGGAGAAGGAGGAGGAGGTGGAGGAGGAGGAGGAGGAGGAGGAGGAGGAGGAGAGGGAGGGGATGGAGGAGACATTGGGAGGGGAAGCCACAGGAGGCAGGGAGGAGGAGGAGGAGGAGGAAGAGCAGGAGGAATGGTCGGCGGACAGAGTCAGAGTCCCTGAGGACCTTAGGCCAGCTACACTGCGGCGAAACGAGACACAATGGCCGAAACCCTATCCGAACGGTGCTCTCGTCTTGGCCTGGGCAATTCTCCTGCGGCGATGCGCGTCGTGGCCAGATGCAGAGCGAGTCGTGAGGACGTCTCAAACAGACATGCGAGACAACATCGGCAACTCGAACACCCGTTGTTCGATATTCGAAGCTGCAGTGATGTTTCAGCATATTTTGGCGAGTTTGGGGGCACGGCCTCCGTCGAGTGCTCGTGGAATGCAACGCACGCCAACCGTGGGTCCCACGAGCATGTTGGACCTTTGTGAAGGCCCCGCCTTCTTGTCTCTCTCCCTTCTCCTACTTTTTTGCCGCGTTCCCGCACATTGCCCTGGTGTTTCCTTCTTTCTCCCATCCGCCTTTGCTCCTGAATTTTGGTGTTCCTTCCCATATCCTAAGGATGGAGTTCTTGTTTTTCGTGTGATGCCTCCGTCTCCTCATCTCTCGTGCTGCCTCTTTTCAGGTCGATCAAACTCCGACTCAATCACACTCAGACTCTTTCACACTCAAATGCAGTCACACCCGGGCTCACTGACACTCAGACGCACGCATACGTAGACTCATTTGCGCTGAGGCCCACTGATACTCACATTCGCTTTCAGTCCGATCCACTCGTACTCAGACTCGCACGTACTCGCACTCACTAACATATGCACAGGCACACGCACCGCTCTCGCTCAGATCTACTCATACTCCGTCAAGCAGTAATTATACGCACACGCACATCATTCATACAGCCAGAGCTCCATGCCCATCGAGATTTAGTAGGCGTGGCATTTGAGCACCCCAGCGGGGAACCGCCAGGAGATATGACGTTTGCCCGTTTGCTCCCAATTTGTGGGGTGGTGCCCGCTTGGTTGACCAACTTCCATCTTCTCGAAGCCCAGTGGTCATTGCTATGTAGCGGGCGTGGCGCTTGGGGAACCCCTTTGGGGAGCCGCCAGGGGATCGGACATTTGCACGTTTGCGCCCAGACAATGGTGGTGGTTTGCTTGTCTGGTTAACGATGCCTTTCTCTTTTCAGAGCCCCATGCTCACCGCGATGTAGCAGGCGTAGCATTTGAACACCTCATGGAGGATCAGCCGGATGGTAGGATATTTGCCTGCTCGCGCCTGGATCGTGCGAGCGTGTCAGTTGTTTTGCTTGTTTGGTGTGTTGGCCCAGATCCCATTTTTTGTCACAGCGTCGTGATCATCGCGACTTGGCAGGCGTGGCTCTGGAGCACTTCGAAGAGAAGCCGCCTCAGGGGGTTACATAGACATCTGCCACTTCGCGCCCAGAGGTTTGGGATGTCTCGGGCGGTTTGCCCACTATTGCTGGCAAGACTAATGTTTTTCCAGATCATCATGCCCATCTCGATGTAGCAGGCGTGGTATTTAAGCACCCCAAGACCGCCAAGGGGTACGACATCTGCCCGTTCGTGCCCAGCTGGTCGGTATTTCTCAGGCGGTTTGCCTGCTTGGTTGGCCCAGGCTTTTTTCTTCTCAGAGCCCACACTCGCCGCGATCTAGCCGGCGTGCCACTTGAGAAACATGAGATGGATCCGCCAGGGGATAGGACATTTGCCCGTTCGCGCCCAGACTGTGCTGATGTTCCAGTCGGTTTTCATATTCATTTTTTTTTCGCCAGAGCCCCATGCTCATCGCGACGTGCCCCAATTGGGGGTATGCCGTTTGCCCATTCGTGCCCATATTGTGGGGATGTCTCAGGTGGCTTGACTCTTATGTTGATCGGACTTTTCTTTTGTCAGGGCCCCGTGCCCATCGTGGTGTGGCAGGCGTTGCGTTTGAGGACCCCAAGGAGTAGCCGCTAGGGGGTATCACATTGGCCCTTTCGCGCCCATACTTTTGGGACGTCTCAAGCGTTTGTTATGCTGACAGCTCACTGGTTTTTCCAGAGCATAATGCCCATCGCGATGTAGCAAGCGTTGCATTTTAGCACCTCCAGTGGGAGCAACCCGATTTTGTGATATTTGCCCGTTTGCACCCAGATCGTGTGGACGTGCCAGGCAGTTTGCCTGTTTGGTGTTGTGGCCCAGGTCCTCTCTTCTCAGAGCCCCATGATCACCACGATGGCTTGGGGGCCTCTTGGGCCGTCTTGGGTCGTCGGAAAGCCGAGAAGAAGCGAATGCCAAAGTCCTTCAAGACCTCCGGAAAATACATGATTTTGGCCTCTTCGGGCCCTCCTGGAGGACCTCTTGGAGGGCTCTTGGGCCGTCTTGGAGGCCTCTGGGGGGCCTCTTGGCCCGTCTTGGGCCGTTTTGGACTCTCTTGAGCCGTTTTGGAGGCCGTCTTGGACCATCCTGGGCGAACTTGGAGGCCATCTTGGACCATCTTGGAGGCTATCTTGGGCCAACGTGGCCATCTTGGCGCCATCTTGAGCCGTCTTGGAGGAACAATTGTGCAATTGGGGTCCTTTCTGGGTGGCCGGCGGGACGGGCCGAAGCCCCAGGTGGAGCTTTTGGAAAAAGAACCCAAACCCAAACCGAGAGGGTTCAGCACGCCAGGCACCCCTGCAATGAATCGACAGGGGGCGGCGGATCGAAGACGCCTACGGCGAATCACCGCCGCCCCTGCCTTTGTGGAAGCGCCTATGTGGCCGAACGTTGAGGTCAGACCTGCCAAGCTATCGGACCATATGTGTTCCCCGAATCGGTTTGGAAAGCCTTCGGGGAACACGTGGGCATCTTGAAGGTCATCTTGGCCGTCTGGAGGCCATTTTAACCCTTTCGGGCCTTCTTGGAGGACGTCTTGGAGGGCTCTTTGGCCGTCTTGGAGGCCATCTTGAACGTCTTGGAGGCCTCTTGGGCGATCTTTCGGCGATCTCTGGGGGCTCTTGGGCCGTCTCGAGCCGTCGGAAGGCCGAAAAGAAGGAAATGTCAAAATCAGTTAAAAAACCTACTGAAAATCAATGTTTTTTGCCTCTTCTGGCCTTCCTGGAGGCCCTCTTGGAGGTCTCTTGGGCCCTTTTGGGCCAGCTTCCAGCCAACTTCGGCCATCTTGGTGGGTTCCTGGCACGTCTGACGCCGTCGGGAGCCGTCTGGGGGCCTTTCTGGGCCAACGGGGGACCCTCTTGGAGCGCTTCGGGGCCGTCTTGGAGGCCATCTTGGGCGTCTTGGAGGCTATCTTGGGCGTGTTGGAGGCCTCTTGGGCCGTCTTGGGGCCCTCTTGGGGCCATCTTGGAGGCCATTTGGGCCGTCATGGGGCTCTCTTGGGGGCCTCTTGGGCGATCTTGGGGGCCTTTTGGGCCGTCTGGAGCCGTCGGAATGCCGAGAAGAAGCAAATTCCCAAATCCTTCAAAAACCGAAGGAAAAATGATTTTGGCCTCTTCGGGCCCTCCTGGAGGACCTCTTGGAGGCCTCTTGGGCCGTCTGGGAGGCCTCTGGGGGGCCTCTTGGCCCGTCTGGGGCCCTCTTGGACTCTCTTGGGCCGTCTTGGAGGCCGTCTTGGACCATCTTGGGCGGACTTGGAGGCCATCTTGGACCATCTTGGAGGCTATCTTGGGCCATCTTGGCCATCTTGGAGGCCATCTTGGAGCCGTCTGGGGCAGAAAATTGGGGAAGTGAGGTCCGTGGAAAAAGTCCCGGGACCCCGGCGGGACGGGCCGAAACCCACTGGGAGAGTTCTTTTGGAAAAAGAGCCAAAACCAAAACCGATAGGGTCTGGCACGCCGGGCACCCCTTTGCTGAAGCGACAGGGGGCGGCGGATGACGGAAAGCGCGCGTTAGCGTGCGGTCCGTTAGTGGGAAGAAATTGGACTTGGGGGAGTTCGAGGGGGGTGGCATCGCCAGGCCCGGATGACGGAAAGCGCGCGTTAGCGTGCGGTCCGTTAGTCGGAAGAAATTGGATTTGGGGGAGTTCGAGGGGGTTGGCATCCGCGGACCCGCGATCTAATTGCCCTCCCGCTTCGTTTTTTATCGAGTAGGACGGCCTTCGGGGCTTAACAACAGCGTTTCGCTCGAGACATCATCGGAAAACGCTTCTTGGGCGCTTCTTGGGCCGTCTTAGGCGCCTAAGACAGCCCAAGAAGCGGCCAAGACGGCGTCCAA